GGGGGGGGGGGGGGGGGGGGGGGGGGGGGGGGGGGGGGGGGGGGGGGGCAGCAAACAGACCGGTGTGTAGAGCGGCCTCCGTTGCTTGGCATGTGCACCGAATGTAGTGTCTGCAGCGCAATGGCGACACTGGAACCGCGTGCCTATCGCGCAGACCGCACAGCACCAACGCGCTAGACTCCCAATGGCAAAGATTTCGGCGTGATCCGTAGGTCAAACTGCAGTTGCCTCATTTTTTGCCTGAGAATACATACCTCTCTCAAAACAGCAGGAAGAGCGTTCGATGCCAAGTTTCTTGCAAAAATATTTTCGCACATAAATTTACACGTACGTAGCGAGTGCCACCCGCGCCGAAATAGTTCAGGTCTGGAGGAGGGGACTGAGGGTTCTGAGAACACAATGGGGTGTAGACGTCGCAATCCTGCGGCGGTATCGACGGTCTACCTCCACACGTCTCGCACGAAACATGGCTCCAACAACATTGCAGATATTGTGTCATGTGAGACGTTTCTTTCGTCGTTCTTGTCTCTCGCCTGCAGCCGCGGATGTGGATCGCACGGCAAATATACCAACAAGCGTAGGGTTGCCGCTGTCATATGGAAAGTCAACGGATCACCGCATCACAACAAGCGAACCACAAGCTTGGGACGTGCGGCAAACCGAGGGGAAAAAAACAAACTCGCCACACCTCGCGAGCGGGTACTTGTGCTGCTCTTTGTGGCCCATTCAGTACCCACGATAACAAACATAAGTGTCCGTTCAACGTGCGGGACTGAGGCGTACCACGCGGTCGTCGACCAAGGCGCGTGCACAACGAGGCACCAAGTGCTATTCGCCAATCTTGCCATTGATGGAAAAAACGCGGCAGAAACGCATGCAGCACACGCAGTCGCTTGGCAAAAGTCGTTCAAGCCGAAAGCACCTCACGGACCCGCCCAATGCTGACCGTCTGGCCGCACGTGTCGCATGGCCTCATCCGCATCAGGCACACCAGGCACCTGTCGGCATCGCACCCCTTTCGAGAGCACGGGACGCCGCAGGACGGCGGTAGACAAAGCCGGACGGCAGGGTGTCGGCGGTGGCAAGCAGTCGTGATCGAATCCAAACGAAAACCTTGGGAAAAATTCAAGCGGGACGTGCACACGTGCCAAAGCTACCCAACAAATGTTCAAGCGCGAACGGGACCAAAGTGCAAAAACAAAAAACAAGCACAAAACACTTGTGCTCTCGCCGTCGCAAGCAGCGCTCTCTCGCCCGCCGTCCACAAGAAATAAAAGTCTTATCGTTGAAACACGAAGGATTTTCAACAGGATCCGGTACAGGGAGTGGGGGTGCTGCAGAGTGGCGTCTCATCTAGACTGATACCACCGTCAAATGCGCTTGCGACAGCAACGGTATCGTCTGAAGACTGGGACGACGTGGCAACCCTGCTGGTGGCAACACCGCGGTACTTCGACACCTTGACCAGACAGAGTTCGACCGGAGGGAAACGCAATGTTCGATCAACCGCTTGCCGTCTTGTCCCCTTAAAGCGCCTACTTGAAACACGACGGCTGCAACGATGACGACGACAACGGTGACCACGATTACTGTTGCCGCTGCCGCCGCTGCTGCTGGTGGTGCTGCTGGCATACTCGCAGAAGCAGCGCACAAGCTGTGGTCCTAAAAATACGAAATTCTACATAAAAAGACGAAGAAGATGAACCGAACGGGACACGAAAATAGACGGAACGAGAAACGACCACCACCGTGGCCGTGCCGTGTGCTCCAAGAAGAACAGAACAATAAAAAAACAAGTCGTCTGGTGAGTCCGTGTAACTTACCTCGCAGAAATTTCGCACTACAGTCATGTCGAGGCACCTGGGGCACGACACCGTACCGCAACGGCCGCAGACCTAATAGCGTTTGGCGGCGACAAGGGCGCGGGGGAGGAGACGAACGACAAGGTAGGGTGCGAAGACGCCAAGGGTAGACGCTGAAAAATAAAAAGTGGGCATGGTCCGGAAGAAAAAAAGAATTACATCGCTGGCATGGCTGCCAATAGAAGAAAAAGAGCGGCACATAAAGAAGATGGCTCCCGAAACGCGGACCCAGCCGACACGCTACTATGGAACGGAAATGTTCTAACGCTGCTCCTTCGCGAGTTCGGCGGCGATGCTTCTTCGAGGTCGTGCTGGATGCATGCATGCATGCCGATCAACGTGGTGCGCATGCAGAAAACAGCAGTCCCTGTATGTACATGGCCGCGAATAGTGCCACGTTACTAAAAAGGCCTAATGCCGGGCGCCGGGCACTCTTCAGAGTTTGAGACATAGTGAGCATTGATCAACTCAAGCGATTTTCACCGGCAGGGTGATCGGCCTGATTTGTGAAGCCCAACACACCAACAACAACAACAACAACAACAACAACAACAATACAGGCACCACTACCTGACGTACGTGTGCCCGCGCTCTCTTCTTCTTCCCCCTCACCTCTCTACACGAGCCGCAGACGGCGGCGTCGCAAACCTCGCAGCCGCAGCTCGAGCCCTTGCACAGCCTGCAGACTCCCTTTAGTAAGAGCAGCGCCCGCAATCGTGTGTGTCCGTTAGTTAATTGGTTCGTCCATTCGTTCGTTTGCCATCCACCGTCGTCGTGACCACCGGCGTTGTCAGTTTGCGTCGTCGCCGATTTCATTCAGTGAGTGGAAGGGGGGGCGGGCGGAACGAGCGTCAAGGAACTGCCGCGGGACGCACAAACACGTGGTTACAACAAGACTTCTCGTGTTTACCTCCATGCCAATTCGTTGTAGGGCGCAGCTACTGCTTACTCTTGACAGTCGCGCAATTGCATGCTTCGCGTTATACCCCCCCCCCTCCCCCCAACGGTGTTTGTCATCGGGGTTGGGTTTTCGTCGCTTGGCAAAGACGTTGTAAAACAAGCCAATTCACTTCGTGAACTCGGCAACCAGGTTACCGTTTTTTTTTACCTCCGGTTTTTTATTTGGCGGTAACCATAATGGTGGTCGAGTAGATCATGTTGTACGGGGTCGAGAACCCTCACTCCGCGCAAGGGGGATGATCGCACCACGTTGTGTTAAAATGGTCAAGCACCCTCGAGGCAGTTACACAGTGCTAACAAATGTCTCTGGAAGTGAAAGCACCAGAAAATAAATGTATTCATACGCAGCTGCCATCCGTACGCAAGGAAGTAAGCACAAGATGCCGAACACCCTTAGCAGGATGCAGCGCACCCTTCATGCGACTCGCCGAATATCTCACGGCGCTTCGCGCTTGGTGATGTGAGAGCCTGGTCCGGTGAGAACCCGGCGTGCTCCGTCCCGGCTTTGTAGGGATACGAGGTCAATGGTCTAACGACCACGGCATGCACGACTATGCGTACACCCCCCCCCCGGTGTTTGCCATCGGGGTTGGGTTTTCGTCGCTTGGCA